TTTCCCCTTCTCCTACTCAGGACAGGGTAGGCATTTGGTCTTTGCATTCCCAGTACCTACCTCTGTGCTTGGATTATAACATAGTAAGTAGGTGGTCCACAAATGTCTGGGTTAATTTTGACTCTCCCCACCTAAGAACTGGTGTCTCTTGACTCTTGTCCAGGTTGTGCCCCTTTGATCAGTTTACCACTCTTTGCCCAGAGAGAGACAAGATGGCCACTGGCTGTACAGGGAAAGCCTGGAGGGACAGTATGGCTCGAGACAAAATCTGATTTATGCCTTTGCTATAGTTCCTAGGTTTGTAAACAATTAATATAAATTGATCCCAGCATAACTTTCTGTTTCTAATAAAGGGATGTAGGAAAAAGATAGATCACATGATTCTTTTGTGGTTCCTAGTGCTTAGGCTTTTCCTAAGATTGCTTCCTTCCTTTCTGTTCCTTTACAATATAAAATATATATGAAAATACTCTGAAAACTGGAAGTGCTATATTATATACATGTATATATGTATAAGCTGGTATGAGTATGATTTGTAGATAAATGATTGGTTCAAAAAGATTAGCTCATTGTAAAGCAATTATACTCCAATAAAGATGTTAAAAAATAAATATATTACATTTTCAAAAGACTTAATAAAATAAAAATTTAAATACAGAGATAAAAAAAGATTAGCTGTTGAGTAAACGTTCATTCAAAAGTATTTTTTGAATGTCTGCCATGTGCTAGGCACTGTTTTGGGTATTGGAAATATAGCAATAAATAAAGCAGATAATCCCTGTCTTTGTAGAACTTGCATTCTCATGGGAGAGACACTCCTTTAATAAGAAGATAATAAAATATGTAGTGGGGCAAATGGTAACTAAAGCTGCAGGAAAAAAAAAAAGCAGGCAAGGGATAAGGGAGGGTCAGGGGAGTAGAATATTTAGACAGGTTGGAATTATATATCTCTTTCCTCTCCTACCCCCACTGGTGATCAAGATTGGTAACATAGTAAATTTGCCCTGCAGTTAGGTCAGTTAGGCAAACAAAAGAAAACTGATAGGTGGTTCATCAAGGTGTCTAATAATAATGTATTTCAGATTTCCATCAGCCATATTAACAAAAAATTACTTTAAAATAATAAAATACAGACATCATCCTCATCTGATATCCCAATTTAACAGTCTTTTTTAACAATAAATCTTAATAAATATATAAATATTTAAAAACCCAAAGGACTAAATTCAACAACTTGTATAATTACTGATATCAGTTCATGAATATATTATTGTTCCTGTATTACCTAAGAATATCAGTTGCTTTTGAAGCTGAAAGCTATTATTAAAACTGATTTGAAAATGACTATTCCCTTCTAAATATTAATGTGAAAAATAAATAATTATTAAGAGGGCTGTGGCCTGAAGCATTAGGTCAGTTTGATTCTGATTTTCATACACAAAGAAAGGATGAATGCACGAATTCTAGTAGTTCCGATCCCCTTATCCAGAGCAGTTGGGAAGTTGTTTACTCCTTGAGGGCCCACTGCTGACGTCTGCTCACTGAGTAATGTCATCAGATTTCCTGGTGGTGGTTATTTTGGGGGGGGGCGGTGGTAAGTAATTGTCCGGCTCTGCTGGGACACCGCTTGACAGAGGTCCTGAGAGCCGGATATACCCCGTAGACAGGATGTAAGGTTAAAATGCAATCTAGTTAAGTAAATAAAGAAAGTCTTCAATGGTAAAATAGAATTGCTGAAACATTAATGTTTTAAAATGATACTGCTAAAGCTATACTGAGGTAGAATCCATGCTCTTTAAAAAAATTAATCTATAGCTTCTTTTATTTCTTAGAATTAATGCGGCAGTGAGTTATTTTTACAAGTTGAGATCATAAAGTTACGCTGTCCTTTGTTTGTATAAGTTATTTCACCCACTTTGAGTGTAGACCATGTACTCAGAATTGTTTTCCCAGGAAGAATGAGACTTTTGCCCTTAGCTGTCCATTCTTTTTATGTATTTAATTAATTAATTAATTTATTTATTTATTTAACATCTTCATCGGAGTATAATTGCTTTATGTTGTTGTGTTAGTTGCTGCTGTATAACAAGGTGAATCAGCTATACGTATACACATATCCCCATCTCCCCTACCTCTTGCGTCTCCCTCCCACTCTCCCTATCCCACCCCTCTAGGTGGTCACAAAGCACGAGCTGATCTCCCTGTGCTATGCGGCTACTTCCCACTAGCTATCTGTTTTACATTTGGTAGGGTATATATGTCAGTGCCACTCTCTCACTTCGTCCCAGCTTACCCTTCCCCCTCCCTGTTTCCTCAAGTCCATTCTCTACATCTATGACTTTATTTCTGTCCTGCCCCTAGGTTCTTCAGAACCACTTTTTTTTTTTTAGATTGCATATATATGTGTTATCATATAGCTGTCCATTCTTTTATCTCGTCCCTCAGCTTGTGACCGACACTATGTATGTGTTTTTTAAAATCAAGCTAGTCGTTAACATTTTAAAGTTTTATTAATTATTATAGCCCTTAGCTTATTTTTCTCCTCCTGGTTTCCTTAAGTTTGTACTGTTGACTTTCTCAAATTCAGTGATTTGAAAGCTTAGTATATTAATTCTTGTTTCATGACAGAAAGATCTAAGACTGTGAATTTTGCCTCTGAGTAAAATTTACTAGTATCCTGTAGGTTTTATTACATGACATTCTCATTTTTATTATTTTCCAAGCAATCTGTAGGCATAGTTTGCATTTCCCTCTCTGATCCGGCAGTTATATGAGTTTAAAAATTTCCAAGGAGGGGGTATTTCTTCTCTTTTTAATTTTGGTTTGATTGCCTTATGGTTGGAAATAAAAGCTGTATAAGGAATATGTTTTAAAGTTTTCTTTGTGACCTAGTATATGTTTTTACGATACTTATAAATATTTTCTTTCTGTCTGTTCAGACTTTATCTTTTGTCTCCTTGATCCTTCATAGCAAATTTCATGAGTATCCTCTGTGAGAGGCTGCAGCCGCCGTTTCACGCAGAGGACCCAAGTGGTGTCCAACAACCACTTCATCCTAGGCAGTGGCACAGCCCTCCTGTTGATGGGTTTTCTGGTTTCTTTTGTGCAACTCCACCCTGCCCCAACACTGTAGAAAATTAGCAAAATGATTTCCCTTCTTTTTCTTTTTCCTGTCATTTTCTTCCTTCTCTTTCTTTTTCCTGAGTAGTTTCACTGTCTTCTCCAAGCAGTAGGCCTGTATCATTTCTTGTTCTTTCATTCATTCATTTCTTTAAACTTCGCTCATAAAAACCAACAAAAAAGTCATTGTTCTTTAAACTTTGTTCATAAAAACAAACAAAAAAGTCATTGGGAGTATGATTATGTAGAGCACATCTCTCTCTTTTAAGACTCTCTTGGACCTCCTGGATCGTATTCCGTCGGAAATTCTGGCTTTGGCATCCAGCTGTGCCTCTTGATGAGGCCGGTGACTGCCCAGCTCTGGAGGATAGGCAGTGCTGTGGGATGTCTGTGCTCACCCTTCCACCCTACTGCAAAGCCTTCCTCCTCAGTCTCAGGTCTAGAGTAGTAGCGACCCTCATTCTACACCTTCTGAGAGATGAAGTTACTACAAAGCAAATCAGAAACTGAGCCAGTGTCCCATAATTAGTAGACATCAGCTTCTAGCAGTTAAAAATATACATGGACTTCCTCCATCACTAAGCAGGTTTTGTTGCCTGTGTTTACTGTAGGAGAGATCACTGCTTGAGGGGAGAGATCACTGCTTGAGGGGAGAGATGGGAGGTGGCAGGCAGTTAGGAAGTATCTTGTGGGAAGGTTTATAGATCTAGTTCTGCTGCTGCTGTGTTTTAGGTATGAAATCACACCCGTCACCCAGAGGCCTGGAGTAGGGTAGGGATCCCCTCAACACATATATACTGTGTTTCTAGAAAAATTGCAAAATGTGTCTCTTCCTCCAGGTAGCAACCCAAGGCCAGGGTTCATGGCTTAGGGCTGGATTTTAGCTCTCCATTCTCCATCCCTTGTGCTCCTTTGTGCAGTGCACAGACTTCCCAAACCTTCCAGTGGCACTGGGTTTGCAGCACAGTTTATAAAACTAAACAGACTGATCAGTGGAATCCCAGATGCCACTTGCTGCTGTGTGGCCTTAAACAAAGTACTTGGAACCTCAGCTTTCCAATGTAAACTCTCAGCATGTTGCAAAGGTTCAGCGAGATAACGTATGTTCAGCCCTTAGCACAGTGCCCAGTATATGCTGAGCCCTCCATTGGCGCTATGATTCTATTACTTGTTGGGGTTTGGTTATGACACTGTATTTATCTTTCTGTGTTGGTGTTAAGTTCTCAAATAGATAAGCTTCTTTTTTTTTTTTTGGCTGCACCACGAGGCTTGTGGGATCTTAGTTCCCCGAACAGGGATCAAACCCGGGCCCCCCAGCAGTGAGAGTACAGAGTCCTAACCACTGGACCACCAGGGAATTTCCCAATAAGCATTTATTGATAAGCACTGTGCTTGTCTGTGAAATGAAAGTGTTAACCGTTTCTCAACAAGGGGTCTTTGAGGTCCCATGGATTTCATTTTTTTGTGTGCCATTTTAGATGTAAGATTTCATTGTCCATCAGGGGAAAGATGGGAGTAGACGTGGAAGAAGCCAATGTTCGTTCGGTGTCTAATCTTTGGGGGCTCTTTATATTGTAATCTCACGTGATCTCTGTAACACATGAGGAATTGAGGCCGAAGGTTGGGTAATTCACTTAGAGTCACACAGCTAGGAAAAGAAAAGCCGGGATCAGACTCATTTTATGTGTCCTTCTCTGCTCTCCACCTTTCCTGGGGTTTATAAGGAGATAACTGAGATCCCTGTGTCTAATAAGTATTTACGTAATTTTTCTCTAGAGTAGAAATTTCATTTTCATCTGTGGCACTGATGAGAGAAAAATTTAAGCAAGCTTATCTTTTTTTTCTTTTCATTTTTAAGCAGATCTTTTTCTTGCAGGTAGCAGTAGCTGATATACAATTTGGCCCCATGAGATTTCATCCAGATCAGCTCCAGGTAATAATATACCATGCTGTAATTTTCACCTTGATTTTCTTTAAAGATGGGGAGGGAGAGGGTCTAAAGTTATACATTGAAAATAATCTTCTGTTTTAGATAAAATATTGGATCAATATTGAATTCCCTGAACTTGATAGCAGTACTACAGTTATATAAGGGAATGTACTTTCCTTAGAAATACACATTGAGGTATTTAGAGATGAAATGTCTGCAACCTACTTTAAACGGGTCAGCAATAAAATAATATGTATAATTGTGTGTGTGTGTACGTGTGTAGTATGTATGTGGAGAGAGAGAGAAAGCAAAGGTGGCAAAATGTTAACAATTGATGAAGCTAGAAGAAGGGTGTTCTAGCATTTATTGTCATTCATGACTTTTTGTAGGTTTGAAATTTTCCAATATAGAGAGTAAAAGCATGGTCTACTCTGTGTTACTGAATCAGCTGTAGCAGAGAGAAAATATCTATAAATTTTCTAATCCAAAATATTAAACAAAATAACCAATTGAAATTTAGCTCCAGCGTTACTTGATGCTTCCTGTACACAAACGCATGCTCACTGTTAACATTTTTTAAAATGTGAAAAGGACTGGCAGAAATGTGCTCTTGGGACTTCCCTGGTGGTCCAGTGGTTAAGACTCCACACTCCCAATGCAGGGGGCCTGGGTTTGATCCCTGGTCAGGGAACTAAGATCCCACATGCTGCGCAGCACAGAAGAAATGTGCTCTCTTAACTCTTTGCACTTGTGGTATTTGTGCACCTGGGTAAGCTTAGAGGGACTGAGTCTTGGGGAATGGGGTTTCTGTCAGCTTTGCAGTCTCTTTCC